TTTTTACAATTGCAGTAAGCATCTTCATAAGTGATTAAGTGTAGCTTGCACGAAGTCCTTAAAGGACAAATCAAAATGAGATGATTGAGAAATTGTATCTTTTTGATCTTTACCGGTTGTTTAGATTATGTTTATAGAGCTGAAACCAAGTTTTTGTGTGTATTGCAAAATCTATGTAGCGTGGCTATGTAACTCTCACTTATCACTGTCCTTTAAAAAAACAAACATGTAATGTACTAAGGAGTTCCTGACGAGCTCCGTGTGTTGTTCGGCTGTGGAGTATTTGAAATAAAAATCTCTACCATGCACAGTTTTTTGCATTATATATTATATTTATAAAATGTTGGCGCCATCATTTAACTAGGTCGTGGACTTTAAATATTAATTAGATACAAATTGCGTATAAAGGTATAATATTTCTGAGTGAAAGCTTGCTGACTGAACTTTATATTTACTTTTATTTTGAAAACCCACTCTTCTTTCCGAGGCTTCGCGTGGGCTCTTATTGTGAAGGCTGAGCTCTGCGCCTCGGTGTGAGGTGTGGGTGTTTGGCTTGAGTTGATGCGGCCACAGGCTGCAGTATTTATAAAACGTGAAGCCGTCGCTGAAGCGGAGTTCCGCTGCTTCCAGAGAGCCGCTCATCCACCGCTGCAGACCTCACTCTGATCCCGGTAAGCCGACCGATGAGCACCGCTGTTTGTTAACCCTCTGTACCGGACCACCCCAGCCTCTTCTCATAAAAGCTGGATTTTAAACGGGACCGAGTAGCTGCTGCGGGGTTATTTTGTACTTAAGTATTCCAGTTATTAGTCTTTAATAAGTATTGCAGATTTTTAGTTACTTATTTACTTTATTTAATAATAAATAAACACGCAAACTCAGAGCAGGTAACATTTTGATTCCTGTAGCTCTCTTCCTCTCTTACACTTGCAATGATTTCATTTACACTTAATCTGCAAAGCAGCATTTTGATATCCGGAGAGGAAACTAGGCTTAAAGTTGTCCGGGGCGTTGGCTGTCTGTGTAATATGTGTGTGTGTGTGTGTGTGTGTGTGTGTGTTAGTGTCAGTGTGAGTGCGTGTGAGCTACAGTTACATGCTGACTTGTGAAAGCCTGAGCTGCTCCTGAAATCTGTTTCCAGTTAGGAAGTCTGACTTTTTTTTGTTTTTTTCTCCAATGATGGAACCTCTGAGGCCAAAAAATGCCTCTCAGAGGTCAATTAAAATTCTTGTACTGCTATTTTTCATTGTCCAACGTTTATGCGTGTGCGTGTAGCCATGTAATTGATGCATATGCTCTACCAGCTGGATTCAAGCTCCCTGGACTTTTTTCTTTGGTACTGGTGTGTTAACAGATGTATCAAAAATGCCCATGCAGGCTTCAGTTCTAAAAATAAAGCTGAAATACTGACACTTGGTTAAATAAACAGTCACAATGTTATGTTGGTATGGGGAAATGATGCCTATTGTTGCTGGATGATGGAGTACAACATCACTCCCTATTGTGAGCAAACACACAGACAGTGTGTAAAACCAAATCCTACCTTCTACTGCCTCAAACACACACACACACACACACACGCGCACACAACTGTGGGGAGTTTTCAGTTGGATTCTAAGCATGTTAAAGAAATTAGAGTGAGCTCAGTCCCATTAAAGACGTCCCAGCCCCATAAAACTTTATGCTGCTGGTCTTCCTTCACGTCATGGTAACTCCCTGTTGTGTTTTGCCTGTTGTGATTTTAATAGGATTGAATGTAAATAGGTGCAGACACTGTGGTCTTCTGTTTTTATTGATCCCCTATGGTCACGTGAACACTAGAGTTGAGTTTTTAATAGAGATTTCTGATGGATAGCATGGTAGAAACAGAAAGCTTCCCATATGTGTATGTGTGTGTGTGTGTGTTGCCTTTTGTCCTGCAGCCAGTAAAACCTGTTGTGTTGTGTTTGGGTGTGCTGACATTGATCAGGGGGTGTGGGAACTTATCTCATGCGAAAGGAAGAGGGCCACTTTATTAGTTACAAATTTCCCAAGTTTTCAATAGTAAATTGATGGTTTCTTAACAGAATTGCTTTTCCACTCCACTTGAGCACTCACCAAGTGCTTTAAAAAACATGTGTCAATCAAGCACATGCACAGTTTTTTTTGTATGTCTAAGTGTTTTCTATCTAACATTCACACTCCAATGAACACATCAGCTTGGGTTTCGGTATCAAACCACCAACTGTCTGGTTATTATTTAACCTGCTCTACC